AGGATTTAAAAATTGTGCCTTGCCTGGTGTTAGGACTTGTTCAGCATTGCATACCATGTGTAAAATGGATGATGAAAGAACTTTAGAAGATTAAACCAGTGCTAGGGTCTTTTATACTGACGGCTATGCAAATTCAGTGACAGCTTCCTGCTCAAAGGAGCCATATCACCCTTCTCTCCTGCTACACCCAACAACACAAAGTTTGAGTGCTTGTCTGAATGTTTTCCCATCAGTAAGATTCCTTCGATCCTCAGAGTGAGCAAAAATGACACCCTGGATAAACCTCATACTGTTAGCAGCAGTCCTCAGAGGTATTATTTTTCCCCTCCAAAAAGATTGTTATCCCCTTTTTCTGTGTGTTTACCTGCAGATATCTTATTAAACAACATTTCTTTCTAGGTGTCCAGTCAGAGGTCCAGCTGGTGGAGTCTGGAGGGGATGTGAGAAGACCTGGAGGCTCCCTCCGCCTCTCCTGCCAAGGGTCCGGATTCACCTTCAGCAGCTATAGCATGAACTGGGTGAGACAATATCCAGAGAAAGGACTGGAATGGGTGGCATTCATCAACCCCAGTTCCAGCACTATTTACTACTCAGACAAAGTCAAGGGGCGCTTCACCATCTCCAGGGACAATGCCAAAAGCCAGCTGTATCTGCAAATGAACAACCTCAAGCCGGAGGACACCGGACTCTATTACTGTGCGAGAGACACAGTGAGAGGAAGTGAATCTGAAGCCAAGTAAAAACTGCCTGTTCCTCAGAGCAGCTCGGAGAGTTCGTTCACGAAGTACAGTTTGAATCGGTAGATTTGGGAAGAATCATAAAAAAAGAAATCAGAAAAAGTTACTCTCCCGAAAAGAACAAACACATAAAAAGACAAAGATAGAGCTAGAATAGAAAATCCAGGAATAAATTCAAAGCTTTTCCTTACCTGCTGAAAATGTTTTCTCTGAGCAAAACTAGAGGTGAAGACGTCAATCTTAAAGCGAAACGGAAAACATCGTTTGTTCAGAGTTGCTTTCCAGGTTGATTCATTAATATCCTCATCTTCTAAAAAACTAGATGCAATCAGTTCCCTCAGTACCGAAATAATCTTCTGATCATCATTTTCTAAATATAAGGTTCTCAATAATTTCTTTGGCAGTGGGAAGATCTTTTCTTTCTGCCAGTCTGTGATCAGGTAGTGAACTAGAAATTAAAATTATGGCCCCTTTGTTCTTCTGTTCCCATAATCTCCTGGCTTCCTCAGAATCCCCTAGTTGTGTCTGAGGGGAATCTGAACAACCTCAGCTGTCCCGAAGTCCAATCGTAGCCTTAGTCTGTATAGCCAAGCTGAAAAATTGTCTTCATTCAGCTCTGGGATGGGGGGGGGGGGGGGCCCCCCCCCCC